GCTATTACACACAGACGCTTTTACACACACACGCTTTTACACACATCGCAACAATTTTACTGCAGTTTTTGGCGATCCAACCTCATTTCGTGCGAAAGGGACGTGCGAAAGGGTCGCGCGGGACAAGTTGAAATCACAATTTTACCTCAGTTTTTAGCGATCGAACCTCATTTCGTGCGAAAGGGTTCACCGGAAACACGAACTCGCAATTTTACCTCAGTTTTTGACGATCGAACCTCTTTCGTGCGAAAGGGTTGCGCCGGACGACTTGCAACTCGCAATTTTACCTCAGTTTTTGACGATCGAACCTCATTTCGCGCGAAAGGGTTGCGCCGGACGACTTGCAACTCGCAACTTTACCTCAGTTTTTGGCGATCGAACCTCATTTCGTGCGAAAGGGTTGCGCGGGACAAGTTGAAATCGCAATTTCACCTCAGTTTTTGGCGCTCGAACCTCATTTCGTGCGAAAGGGTTGCGCCGGACAAGTTGAAATCGCAACTTTACCTCAGTTTTTGGCGATCGAACCTCATTTCGTGCGAAAGGGTTGCGCCGGACACCTTGAACTCGCAATTTCACCTCAGTTTTTGGCGATCGAACCTCATTTCGTGCGAAAGGGTTGCGTTTCGTGTCGTCTGGTTGGCACTGCCCCTGCTCCCGCCTTCAAGAGAGAAATAGAAAAGAAGGAGAAGGCAAGAGGGCAAGAGGGCAAGATGTGAAGATGAGAAGATGAGAAGATGAGGAGAAGATGTGAGGATGAGAAGATGTGAGGATGAGAAGATGTGAGGATGAGAAGATGTGAAGATGAGAAAATGTGAAGATGAGAGGATGTGAAGATGAGAAGATGTGAAGATGAGAAGATGCGAAGATGAGAGGATGTGAAGATGAGAAGATGAGGAGAAGATGTGAGGATGAGAAGATGTGAAGATGAGAAGATGTGAAGATGAGAAGATGTGACGATGAGAAGATGTGAAGATGAGAAGATGTGAAGATGAGAAGATGTGAAGATGAGAGGATGTGAAGATGAGAGGGTGTGAAGATGAGAAGATGTGAAAATGAGAAGATGAAAAAGACGTGAAGATGAGAAGATGTGAAGTTGAGAAAATGTGAAGATGAGAAGATGTGAAGATGTTTTACAGACCCCCACTATTGGAAGAACCCTGCGCTCAGACGCTCTCGGGAAAAAACAATGTGGACGTTCCAAAAGGGCCTGAGTTTAGACTGCAATGGAGCTTATAGGTCTCAAAGAAGCAAGCGCACGCACACACATGCCAATTAGGTGGGCGCACAGTGACGCACAATTGGCGAACAGCTTGACAAAAGATTCCGAACAACAACAGCTGCAAAGGTTTTACCACTGAGGTCAGGTATGGAGGATCATTGACAATCCCTTGATGAGGTCTGCCCGAAACAGAAAGAAGGCAGGCATAGGCCCCATGGAAAACACCACCAATGGAGAGGAAACCGGCGAAACGAATCTTGGACAATGGACCCGCGGGGGGATGCAATTTGTCATTCGTACCCAAGTAACCTTGTTTCTTCATTCCCATGACTACGGCAAGTGTTGTGGATCAAAACAGGGCCCCTCGTTGTGCGATTCGTATCATTCACATTGTTGTGCCATAGTGACTGCATTAACCGTTTCCGGCACTGGGGTTGTGAGTGGAATCCTGGGTTTTGTGATCTCAACTACTTCTTGAAGGGAAATCAACGCCGGGCAATTTACCCAGCTGCGCTTTGTGGTGATTTCACCTGGTGCTACCGGCTTTTTATATATAGACATATAGACATATATACATATATAGACATGTAGACATATAGACACATAGACATATTTTCATATATACGTATATACATTTTTACATATATACATATATTCATGCGCAAATATATACGTAAATATAAAAATACATATATATATATACACATATATATATATATATAAATATGAATCATATATACATATATACATATATACATATATACATATATACATATATACATATATACATATATACATATATACATATATACATGTGTATATATATATATATACATATTATGTATATATGCATGTATGCACATACACATATTATAAATGTTGCATGTACACCTACATATTGTGGTAGACTCCGCTTCCTGGATCTGCCTTTCACGGTTTACCACTAGACATTTGGGCAATACAGCGGACACATACAGATTGTGGAAGGCTTTGAATTCCTCCCTCAATCCCTACTTTGTGGGAAAAGCATAGACTCCTCTATGCAACTTCAGGTCTTGCGAAGGTCTTAAGATGATCTTACAGGGAGGTGCAAAGATGGAACATCTAGGATTTCTAGAAGACTCATGTGAGCGATACCCACAGCCCTGCAGTTGCTTTAGATCCAGACAAAAGTGAAGACTGACCTCTGACCGCTTAAAAGAAAAACACTGTATATGGTTTCCAACAAGTACAGTATTGTCCTGAGGACATGTTTTCCTTGAAATCGGCAACACTCTTCAAGAGAATGTCATTCCTGCGAGAAAGTGTTGTAGCCCTGCATCAGCTTCGCACTTTGATATTGAGCGACAAGCAAAGAAACAAAAGCAGCAACCAAGCTGCAACAAGCTGCAACCTTTTCGGCTGCATTGGAACTACAAAAAAATACAGCTTGCCAGCATACTCAAGAATGAATATTGCGAGGGTTGACTGTCCAGTGTTCTTGATTTTGAGGTAATGTTAATTACATGGCTGAAGAATCATCAAAAACAATCAAAACTCAAGACAGATTCGTTCTCTGAAAAAGGTGCTTTGAACATGAAGTGCAAAACCCCGCTATGATAATTGATACCCTTCCATTTCCTCTCGCAAGGGAAACAAATCAAACAAATGTGTTGCCAGACTAAAAACAGACCAAAACCTCGATGCTTCCCAAAGCAAGACATTCGGCAAAACCAGTCCCCTCTCAAAAGACATGAACCCAGCTTTGCAACCCAACAGCAGTGAGAATTCCAAATTCAAGGTGAGAAGGTTCCCGAGTAGCGTCCATCTTTGGCCCACATTTTGATTCTCAGCATGGAAACAGAATGACAAACAAAGTAGGCGGCACAGTGGGAGACAAACGTTGAGACACAGTGAGAGACAAATTGGGAGACACAGTGGCAGACAAAGTTTGCGACAAAGTGAGAAACAACCGGGGGACCAAATTCTGAGAGACAAATTCTGGGAGACAAAATGGGGCACAAAGTGGGAGACAAAGTGCGTGGAGCACAAGCTGGAGACAAAGCGGGAGAGACAGTGTGGGACACAGCGGAGGAGAAAGAAAGCGCGAGACAGAATGGGAGACAAAAGGCGCAACACAATAGGAGACAAAGTGGGAAACAAGTGCCGACAAAGTAGGAGACACAATGGAAGGCACAAGAGTAGGAGACAAGCTGGGAGACAAAGTGGGAGAGAAGCTGGGAGACAAAGTGGGGGACAAGGTGGGAGACAAAGCGGGAGACATAGTGAGAGACAAAGCAAGACAAAGTGCGAGACAAGTCGGGCAACAAAGCGGGAAACGAAAGTGGGAGACACAGTGACAGACAAAAGTGGGAGACAAAGTGGGAAACAAAGTGGGAAACAAGTGCCAGACAAAGTAGGACACATAATGGAAGACACAAGAGTAGGAGATAAGCTGGGAGACAAAGTGGGAAACAAGGTGGGAGACGCAGTGGGAGACAAGCTGTGAGGCAAGTGGGAGACAAAGCGGCAGACAAGGTTCCAAGGTGGAAGACGCAGTGGGAGACAAGCTGCTAAACAAAGTGGGAGACACAGTGGGAGACACAATGCAAGTTCGAAGGTTCCAGGTGGGTGACAAGTGGGAAACACAGCGGGGAACACTGTGGGAGACAAGGTTCCAAAGTTCCTGGAACCCTGCGCATACATGCCGGCGGAGGGAGAAGTCGCGATACCACCCCGTGCTTCTAGACCCAACAGCGGTCTGCTGTAGCTTTCTGCTGTTGAGAATTTGGGATACAGGGAGAACTGCTTCTTCCAGGCAACCCAAGCCCAGAGATACATACATAGTGTTACAAGCAAAGATGTCTGCCTCTATTTATGTGGGCAATCCTTTATACATGCATACCTTGCTTGTTACAATCCTTTGCTTGCTTTCCTCCTCGCCTGTGCTTTCAAATCAAAAACAACAATCCCAACAATTTTATATTGTGCTGCTGACTGTGGTGCTGGCTGTGCTTTCCGGATTTTATCTGATTGAATGGTGTGTATTTGGGCGCAATTAAATGGCATTTGCCTGCGCTGCCAAAGCCCTTGGGCGGTGGTTGCGTTAGTTGGATAAACACACGTTGCATTCGACCAAAATACATAACATTGGATTGGTTTGCATTACACTACATTAGATTACATCGTGAAGCTTTGCATTGCACAATCTTGCGTGCATTACACACATTACATACAATATCATATCATACCATGCTTGTGCGCTACCCTACCTTATTGTACTATTCCATGCCATACCCTTACAGTGCAATACGGTACCGTATCGACTATCGACCGTACCTTACATTGCATTGCATTACCTTACATAGGTGCAAACAGAGAGTATATGTTGTAACCATTTGCGACATATCTTTTTCCATTCCGTCCTCCCTGGCACGAGCTGTGCCTTTCTCAATGTCCGATATCTACGACAAGTTTCCAAGAAACAGTTCCTACTCAGCTTACCTTGCCTGACCCGGCAGAGTCTTCCTGATTTGTGGCTCTACAAGTCACAGATTGAGAATCGGTGATACACACTGCTCCCTCCATGTTGAAGGGTGCTTTGTTGGCTAAAAACTTTGAGGCACAGTCACTGAAGGTTAGCGTTCAACTGTTGGACAAACAGTGGCGTGGAAAAAAACCTGAAAGTTACAAGCGGGGTACCGGCTCTCAGAACAGCATAGAACAACTATGCGAAGCACCTTCGAGTTGAAGCACCTGAATAACAACATCCCCAAATCCCCAAATAAAGCAAACAAGTGGCCGTGCTCCAAAATTCGGAACCCGCTCTGTTTCAAACTCTCAAGAGGAGCCTGGATCCCAACGAGCTCCTTCAGGTGTAGTGCAGTTGGTGCAACAGCACAAGCGCTTCAAGCGTCTACACAGAAAATCACAAAAACACGACACCGTTTTTTTCTGCGCAGTCGCTGCATGCACAAAGTAAATCCCAAGCAGTTCAATGGTCTCTCAGAGCTGTCTCCTCGATGCCGTCACCGAGCTCGATACCCTTCTTGATTGCCACATGTTCGGAATTTTTCGGATCAAATCGGTCAGTCATCACCCACCTGAAAATCAATCCAGCAATGGGAGAATGGTTCGGGATATCGATTTAAAGGAAGCACTTGGCACAAACCGTTTCAAGTGACAGTGGCTAGGTGAATTTGTGATCCATTGCGCCGAGCCACTCGTAAGAGAAGAGCCGTCCGCCCTTCTTCAGGGCCTTTGCAGACGCCTGAAAAACTTCCTGAGTATCAACATGACACCAACAGTGCAATTAGATTTGTCGCACAAACAGAAACATGTTTATTGGATAAAGTCTTGAAATTGATGAAAATTGGACTTGAATGGTCTACAGCTCGACGCATTCAAGTACGCAAGTGAATTTATACGAAATCAAGGGCATCCAACCTCATGTGCATCCATGCATCAGTGCGATTTGCGATGTGACATGACGACTCAATGTAGTAAACTGCATCGAGGGACTCCTGCACCGAATCAAAGGTGCAAGTTTTGGCAATGCTTGTCCGGACGTGATTCGACGCTGATATACTGATACGCTGAGTAACTGCTAAGGTTGCAGGTTTGCAAGGGTAGTACGCTGATACGCTGATATGCTGGCACCCCCTGTCTCCATAAGCAAGGGCTCCCTCGCTAAGCACACCATTCCCTTCGTTAAAATCCTGTTTCCGTGACCAAGAGCTCCACCTCTACACACACCATGCCTTCATTGCAGCCTTCTTTCAGTAAGCAGGTGCTCTGCTCCTAAAGACAGCAGTCCTTTTAAACACACCAGTCCGCTGGGTGCAACTCCGTGTCTGTCAGTATGTGCTCTTTTCTGAGCTTCTGCCCTGATACGCTGATACCTTGCTATGCTGATATGCTGCTACGCTGATACGCTGATACCATACGCTGATACACTGGTATGCTGGTAAGCTGGCATGTACTGGTGGAACGTGCAACCGGTGTAAACGGTGTAAACTCTGTAACCAGTGTAAACAGTGTAACGGTCTAACAGTATAACCGGTGTCGCGCAAGATGCTCGATAATATTTGCATCAGCAACGAAAAGAGAAATGAAAAAGGGATACAACACGCAAGACACGCAAGACACTCACTTCAAGAAACTTTTGCGCAGCGCTGCAAGATGTAAAATGTCAGTCCGGTGCAAATACGTCGGGGACCAACTTTGTGAAGTCACCTTGTCGATAATCCTGGGCAATCTTGCCATCAACAGAATCTAAAAGCAGAACTGTCAAAAGAGAGAAATTTATTGAGATTCAGTCTTGATTTTGAATCCAGAAAAGAGAATGAAGTCACAAGAAGTAATTTGTCAAACACAAATCATGTCCATTCCGTTGCACCCTTCTTCTGCATGTTCATGTTCAAATTCAATACAAGTAGGATGATGCCAGGAGGCTATATGCTTGGCCATTTGGCTACTGCATTCGCTCTTTGTAAACTTTTTTGCTCGTCGTACCTCTGAAGGTCAGTGTAGAGGCGAAAGTCACACACTTGGTGTACCCACACAATCATATCCACAGTATCCGCCGACCCCGGCCGACAGCAAGGGGGAGCGCGCCAGGGAATAGGAGTTTCCGACTTCAACTACGATATCGGGTTGACACTAAGGGCAGCAGCAGCAGCAGCACAAACCAGCAGCAGCAGCAGCAGCAGCACAAACCAGCAGCAGCAGCAGCAGCACAAACCAGCAGCACAAACCAGCAGCACAAACCAGCAGCAGCAGCAGCAGCAGCACAAACCAGCAGCAGCAGCAGCAGCAGCACAAACCAGCAGCACAAACCAGCAGCAGCAGCGCAGCAAAGGTGCGGCTTGCAAGCGAGAGTAGAAAACCACAATAAGTTACATTAGGGACTTTTTAGGCGCATTTTTGGAGTTTCTCCGTCCTTCACTGCCATGGCGATTCGCCGCTGGGAGTGGCTCGGTTTTCGGAGTTTCAGCGGTACTGGACACAATGCAGGAACCAAGATACTACATCTTTGCAAACATCCAGCCCTACCCTCTGGAATAGGCACGTTCTCTTTTTTCTGACAAGCAAACCATAAGCTAGTGCGGCTTGCAAGCGAGAGTAGAAAACCAGAGTAGCCAGCAAAGCCAGCACATTATCTTGTTTTTTTTAACGGGTTTCAGAAGTTACGTTACGGACTTTTTCGACGCACTTTTGGAATTTCTCCGTCCTTCACTGCCATGGTGATTTGCCGCTGGGAGAGAGGTTTACTGGCCACAATGCAGGAACCAACATAGCATGTGTTTGTTTTTTCTTATTATTTTTACGGGTTTCAGATGTTACGTTAGGAACTTTTGCGGCGCGTTTTTAGAGTTTCTCCGTCCTTCACTGCCATTGCGATTTGCCGCTGGGAGTGGTGCGGTTTTCGGAGTTTCAGCGGCACTGGACACAATGCAGGAACCAACATGCCACATTTTTCCTTGAGTAGCCAGCAAAGCCAGCACATTATCTTGTTTTTTTGGCGGGTTTCAGAAGTTACATTAAGGTTTTTTTAGGCGCACTTTCGGAGTTTCTCCGTCCTCCACTGCCACGGTGATTTGCCGCTGGGAGTGGTTTGGTTTTCGGAGTTTCAGCGGTACTGGACACAATGCAGGAAGCAACACGCCACATTTTTGCAAACGTCCAGCCCTACCCTCTGGAAAAGGCACGTTCTCTTGTTTCTCACAGGCTTCAGAAGTTACGTTAGGGACTTTTTAGACGCACTTTTGGGGCAGTGGGAGTGGTTCGGTTTTCACAGCTGCAGCGGAACTATTAGTGCAGGAAATAATGTATGCTATGCAAACTGTGTGTTTTTTTTCGTGTCTGCACCTTGCCACGCAACAACACTGCACCTTGCCACAAAAGGGTGGGAAATGGGAAGGTTTATTGAATATTCACAAGCTCCAAACCCACACTCTGGTTGAAGCCATCGAGGAACTGCTCAGGGGGGTGAAGGGGTTTGGTGGGTGGGTTTTCTTACTACATCAAAATATTTTATCAAATATATTTCATTATTTCATTATCATTCAAGAATATCAAATATATTTCATTTAAAAAAATACATATAAAAAAGTGGAAAGCCTGAAAGTGCGAAGCACTGACGAATATGTATGTCAATCTTGTTTGATTAATTATTAATTGACCTTGGAAATCAAAACTACCCCCATCTGGGGAAGCGCGTAAGTGATGTAACCTTGGAACTTTGAAACCAAAGGTACCCAATTAAAAGAAATTGCATTTTTGCCCAGCAAGTTGATAGGGTTGCTTCCCATGAAAATTGGTTGGTTCTGAATAAATCTAAATGGTGCTCTTTATATGGTAATGGGGTTAGTTTTGATTAAATTGGGATTACTTATGCATGATTCTGTATGCTTGATTAATTGATTTAAAGGCTTATGCCTGACAGCCGGGCGCCGGCTAAGCAATCTTGGCACCATGTTGGCAACGACTTTGGGCGTATGGTGTGGGAAGATTGGGCCGAGATTCTCCGCGCAAATGCAGGAAGGGCTACGTTGAACCGAGGCCGGCATAATGCGCAGTGCTTGCCTGTATGGAAGCAGTCTGGGCCTACGTTGAGCGCAGGTTGTGCCCATGTTGGGCCAAGTCGGGCCCATGTTGAGCCATCGGGCCCATGTTGCGCCATCTTGGGTCCCATCTTGGGCGAATGTTGGGCCACGTTGGGTTCATGTTGGGGCAATTTTCGGCCTATGTTGGCCCTATGTTGGCCCTATGTTGGCCTACGCCAGGCCTATGTTGGCCCACGTTGAACCATCTTGGCACCTATGTTGGCCCACGTTGAACCATCTTGGCACCTATGTTGGGGCCATGTTCGGGCCATCGATCTTAAGATGCCAATTTTTGCGTCACATCCCTTGCTGCCGAAACACCGTAAAAAACGATGTTTTTTACACCGCAATTACAGAGACTTCAGTCGGCGGCAGGGCCGGCAGCGCCTATAACCTTCGGTTACCACCGAAGGCCTCCGGCAAGGACACGGGCCGGTGGCCGGCGCCCGGATTAAATGGTCTTCCGGGGTTAGCGGCAGGGGCGGCAGGGGCGGCAGCCCTTACATCCGGGCGCCGGCCACGGAGCGTGTCCTTGCCGGAGGCCTTCGGTTGGTAACCGAAAGTTATAGGCGCAGCCCCCTGCCGCCGACCCACCCCCGACGCACCCCGGGGGGACTCCGTGTCAACTGAAGGACCTGTAATTTACTGTGTATTTTGCTTGCGGTGTTCAAAATCATTGTTTTTTACGGTGTTTCGGGCCCTTCGGCGGCAAGGGATTTCATCTTGGCGATGTTACAAAACCTCAGTTGTTACGTGGTTTTGCTGCGGGAAGAATGAGCATCTTAAGATCGTTTCAACATAGATGGCCCAAACATTGCCCCAACATAGCTCCCAAGAGGGCTCAACATGGGCCAACATAGGCCCAACATAGGCCAACATACGCCCAACATCGGGCCAAGATGGGCCACACATAGCTCAACATGGGCCCAACTTGGCGCAACATAGGCCCAAGATGGGGGCCCGACTTGGCCCAACATAAGCCCAAGATAAGCCCAAGATGGCTCAACATGGGCCCGACTTGGACACAACCTGCGCTCAACGTAGGCCCACACTGCTTCCATACAGGCAAGCACTGCGCATTATGCCGGCCTCGGTTCAACATAGCCCTTCCTGCATTTGCGCGGAGAATCTCGGCCCAATCTTCCCACACCATAAGCCAAACGTCGTTACGGGCCAGCCCGTGTCCTTGCCGGAGGCCTTCGGTTGGTAACCGAAGCCGACCCACCTCCACACCACTCCCGCCCGACTGAAGCCCCTATAATTTACGTTGTTTTTGCTTGCGGTGTTAAAAAAAAGGGTAGGAAATTGTTTGGGGATTTTTTGTTTTAGTTTGGGGATTTTTTTTTGGATTTCCGGTTCTCACCATTTTCCATGCTATTTGCAGCATTTTGGAGCTGGAAACTGCCATTTCCACGGTATGTGCAACGGTTTTGAGTTCGAACCTCTCATTTTCCATTGTATTTTCCACGGTATTTGCAACAGTATGAGCATGTTCTGTCCATTTTCCATGCTCTTTGCAGCATTTTTGAGCTGGAATCTGCATTTCCACCGTATGTGCAACATTTTACAGCTACATTCCTCACAGTACTTGCAGGATTTTGGAGCTGAAGGCTGACATTCCAACAGTTGTTTGTTGTTACTGTTACTGTTGTTGGTGTTGGTGTTGTTGTTGTTGGGTGGTGTTGTTGTTGTTGGTGGTGGTGGTGGTGGTCGTGTTGTTGCTGTTGTTGTTGCTGTTGTTAGTGTTAATGTTAGTGTTGTTAGTGTTGTTAGTGTTGTTAGTGTTGTTAGTGTTGTGTTAGTGTTGTGTTAGTGTTGTGTTAGTGTTGTGTTAGTGTTGTGTTAGTGTTGGTTGTGGTTGTGGTGGTGGTGTTGTGTTGTTGGTGGTGGTGGTGGTGGGTGTTGGTGTGTTGTTGGTGGTTGTTGTGTTGTTGGTGTTGTTGTTGTTGGTTGTTGTTGTTGTTGTTGTTGTTGTTGGTGGTGGTGGTGGTGTTGCTGGCGGTTGTGTTTGTGTTGCTAGTGTTGTTATTGTTGTTGTTGTCGTTGTTGTCGTTGTCGTTGTCGTTGTCGTTGTCGTGTCGTCGTTGTTGTTGTCGTCGTTGTCGTTGTCGTTGTCGTGTTGTTGTTGTTGTTGTTGGTGTGTGTTGGTGTGGTTGGTGTTGTGTTGTTGTTGGTGTTGTTGTTGTTGTTGTTGTTTAGTGGTGTTGTTGTTGTTGTTGCTGTTGTTAGTGTTGTTGTTGTTACCGTTAGTGTTGTTAGTGTTGCTAGTGTTAGTGTTGTTAGTGTTGTTAGTGTTGTTAGTGTTGTTAGTGTTGTTAGTGTTGTTAGTGTTGTGTTAGTGTTGTTGTGTGTGTGTGTGGTGGTGGTGGTGGTGGTTGTTGTTGGTGGTGGTGGTGTTGTTGCTGGCGGTTGTGTTTGTGTTGATAGTGTTGTTATTGTTGTTGTTGTCGTTGTTGTTGTTGTTGTTGCTGTTGTTGTTGTTGTTGTTGTTGTTGTTGTTGTTGTTGTTGTTGTTGTGTTGGTGTTGGTGTTGGTGTTGGTGTTGTTGTGTTGTTGTTGTTGTTGTTGTTGTTGTTGGTGTTGGTGTTGTTGTTGTTGTTGTTTAGTGGTGTTGTTGTGTTGCTGTTGTTAGTGTTGTTGTTGTTGTTACCGTTAGTGTTGTTAGTGTTGCTAGTGTTAGTGTTGTTAGTGTTGTTAGTGTTGTTAGTGTTGTTAGTGTTGTTAGTGTTGTTAGTGTTGTTAGTGTTGTTAGTGTTGTTAGTGTTGTTGTTGTTGTTGTTGTTGGTGGTGGTGGTGGTGGTGGTGGTGGTGCTGGCGGTTGTGTTTGTGTTGCAGCGTGCCCATCTGCTTCGAACCAAGAGAAGATGTTGCTCCACACCTCATGGAAAAGCAAAAAAGCAAAGAAAAGCAAGAAAAGCAAAAAAGCAAGGAAAAGCAGAAAAGCGAGAAAAGCAAAAAAGCAAAGAAAAGCAAGGAAAGCAAAAAAGCAAAAAAGCAAAGAAAAGCAAGAAAAGCAAAAAAGCAAAGAAAAGCAGAAAAGCGAGAAAAGCAAAAAAGCAAAAAAGCAAAGAAAAGCAAAGAAAAGCAAGGGAAGCAAAAAAGCAAAAAAGCAAAGAAAAGCAAGAAAAGCAAAAAAAGGAATAGAAGCAAAGAAGCAGAGAAGCACTGCAGGAGGGAATAGAGTAAGCAGGAAGAAATCCAAAAAAAAATCCCTAAACTAAAAAAAAAAATCCCTAAATAAATGGCCCTCCTTAAAAAAACATCATTTTTTACGGTGTTTCGGGCCCTTCGGCGGCAAGGGATGTCATCTGGGCGATATTCAAAAACCTTGGTCTTTACGTGGTTTTGGGCTCCAGGAGGGGGCGTTACAACATAGATGGCCCAAACATGGCCCCAACATAGCTCCCAAGATGGCTCAACATGGGCCAACATAGGCCCAACATGGGCCAACATAGGCCCAACATAGGGCCAACATGGTGCCAAGCTTGCTTGACCGGCGCCCGGCTGTCAGGCATAAGCCTTTAAATATTCAAAAACGGTCTCAAGATGTCTCAACCGCTTGCTTGCCTGGTAGTCATTGATTGTGACACCAGTGATGTCTGCGTTGCTAAACCTTTGGATTGACCTCCAAATCAGTGCAAATCAGCGCAAGCAAGCAAATCAGACTTGTGCTTCTGCGTTCAATGAAGACTCTGGCTCGCAGCTCATTGCCTTAGCGGGCCACCGACGCCCATTCCTAAATCAGCCACCTGCAAAGCACCAGAATCATCCCGACTGACACAATTCGTGGAATCTAATCGTGTCTTTCGTATTTCCGTGTATTTAAACACCGAGAAATCACCCGAAATGAGGCGAAGCGAACTGGGTGAACTGAGCATGGAAAGGCACCCTCTGGAGAAACGGCCTTCTCTCCGGGCTTCAGTCCGAGCTTCCCTGAGAGGAAGTGCTCATGCCTGGCGAGGCCAAGAACAAAACTAAACAAGCAGCAGCAACACCAACAAGAAACACAAAAAAAAACAGCAGTAAACCAACCACTTTCCGGACTTCCCCGTGGCACAACAATTGATCTATCCGAGTCAACCAAGCATTTTTCTCCATGCTCAAACCTTTTCAATGATGTGTGCTGCAAAGGTAAGAGCCAGAATGCATCGGAATGCGTAAAAATACTGTACTCTCCATAGGACATAGGAATTTGGCAACGTTTACATGACATGCAGCACAGAAACAAGATATCCCATGGTCTGCAAGACCTTCTGTACAATCCGGACCTTCTGTTCATGCCCCATCTCCCACAAGTCCACCTTTACAGTCTACCTTTCCAAAATCGTAGGGAAAAATGCGTTCCGAAACTGTCAGCTGTGCTTTGAAACTTTGAAACCGAGAACTTCAAGGGGGTTCGGGGCGGAGGTCTCAGGCTGCTTCAGGTTGCTTCAGGCGGCCTGACGATGGAGTCCTCCAAGCTCTCCCCGGCAAAGCGAGTTGCAAAGTGAAAGGAATTGCCCCAGCCGTACAGATAGAAGTCCGTTGCCACGTCGTAGTATTCATCTGTGGTCGTCCGCTCAGTTAAAGAGTCGTCCTCAAATCTGCCAACATATCCATCAACTGCGTCCTGCCAAGGCTCCCAAAGAAGCCGTTCAAATGCATCAATAATCAATGTATAACATATTCGGAGACACTATTCATAGATATCCATGCTGAATGCAACACTTGCAAAGCATGTAGCAGAAGATAGCGCAGGTAGTGGAAAGTCTGGCAACTCCATGCTCTTAGTTGCTCAACGATTCCCATCCTTCTTGTTCGACATGATAGACCACCTTCGCAGCAAGTGTGACTCAGCGAAGGCTTCAAAGAAGAGGCTTCAAAGAGGCTTGAATGGTCAATTTGGTCAATCTCATGCAAGATCTTTGCTATTCTTTGCTGCCATGCTGCAGGTATCCGAGATAACCTCAGTCCAAAAAATCATCGGAGTCAAGAGCGACGATTCTCCAAAGCTTCTGTCAATTTTTTTCAACACTTCTGTGAAGCCTTTTGGCATTGGCAAACTTCAGATGCGGACCATCAGAGCCTGCTTCACTGATCCCTGCATTGCATGAGCGTCCAGAACCCATTTCATGGCATTGGCCAAGCCCCTGCCAAAGTCATCAAGTCTGCAACATCTTGCCTCTAGAAACTACTTGCACGCGGCACCAAGCTGTCATCAAGCCATAATCAAGAGTCCAAATCAATCTAAAGTTCTAAAGCCTCTTCCGCCCTCACACAGCGTGCCTTGGCAAGACATGCTTCCAACAAAACAGAGACGTGCAGGATGGTAACAAAACCAAAATCAGAAGCGAGACTGCTAGCAATCCAAATACAAACCTGTATTGCGGTCTCCTTCCGATCATTGCATGTCTGCTTTCTTACATACTTCCAAGGTAAGAACTGGAAGCAGGCACAGGGCTGCCAGGCGTGTTATGCATGGCGCCATGACCTGCCAAACAGCAACCTGAATTAAATCTACACAATCTACAAGCAATCACACTTTCTTGATTTCCAAATATCTTTTCTACCTTTCTTACCCAGAAACAGTCATATCTGTGTTACATTGGTGGGGTTTACCCTTTCTTTCGTTGTCGCACCTGCTGAAGTAGTAGCCAACAGGCAAGGTAAGCCCATAACTTCCAGTACCCTAATCCATGTTGCTTTGTTGCTGACAAGCAGGAGCAGGGTCCAAAGCAACAGGGCCCAGGAACTAACATCTCCACAGAATGGAGAAGTCAATGCAGTTGAAAGCTAGCCGGCGAGCTAGCCAATAAATAGAACCCCATATACATTTCTCTGAGTCTGACGCTCGTCAAATTCTACAAAACTATGTCTCGCTACCGCTGCAGAATGAATTGATTGCAAAACGAACAAAAAAGAGAAGGCAATAGTAGGATAAAATGCGCATTTTTAATCGTGTCTTGTTGATTCTGTTCGTGTTTTGCGTCTTGCATGTTTCTTACTCCTCATGCAAGCTTCGAGTGTTGTGTTTGGGGTGTACTTCTTGGAATCCGTTTGGGCCAGTTTTTTGTCCATTTTGGGATACGGTCAAATCGCATACATATATCGGATGTCAAAGAGGGAAACTTGCAGGAGCAGCCTTCTCGGTTTCCGAAGGTATGTATGTATGCATGCTGCATTCATGCATGCATGGATGGATGGATCGATCGATCTATCCATCCATCCATACATCCATCCATCCGTCAGTCCGTCCGTCCATCCATCCATCGATCGATCCATCCGTCCATCCATCTACGTATCTATGTATCTATGCATCTATGTACCTATGTATCTATGTATCTATGTATCTATGTAGCTATGTCTATGTATCTGTGTATCTGTGTATCTGTGTATCTATGCATCTATGTACCTATGTATCTATGTATCTATGTATCTATGTAGCTATGTCTATGTATCTGTGTATCTGTGTATCTGTGTATCTATGCATCTATGTACCTATGTATCTATGTATCTATGTATCTATGTAGCTATGTCTATGTATCTGTGTATCTGTGTATCTGTGTATCTGTGTATCTGTGTATCTGTGTATCTGTGTATCTGTGTATCTGTATCTATGTAGGAAAGTACCGGTGGATGGATGGATGGATGTATCTATGTATCTATGTATCTATGCATCTATGCATCTAAAATTGCTGAGTAAGGACTGTAAGACCATATATCAATGGAGAGCCAGTAGGCGCCAGCACCTCTACTGGCCATGTGAAGAGCTTTTGCAGTTTGGGGAAGAGCTCAAGAATGTCAAAAACCGGATTCTCCGCAAGCCTCATTACTGTGATCAAGATCGGAGTAGCACAGCCTCTTTATTGTTTGGGGGAAAAAAAAACTGTCCCGCTGACCCATCCGACAACTGCAACCCGCCCGACAGGAGCACCTGCCCCACTAGAAAACTCCAGGCGTGATCTTAGACACTAGCTGACTACGCTGTACAATGGAGGAAAAGCTCTATTCGTCTCCTCTGTTTGCAAAAAGCTGCGGTGAGATGATCAAGCACAACAGCCAAAGAGTTCATGAAGGGTTCATGTTAGGGAAGCATCTGATTGGCAGCTCATCTTGTAAAGCAGGTTGAGCCTCTGTGGTTTCATCCTTGAAAACAAGTCCCTGGCCAGTCAAAAGGTCCGGAACTACTCAAGAACTCATTCAATACATTGGGAAAGGAAGAATGAGCGTGCAGGTGCTGCATCACTACATACGGAGCTGCAACAAGGTATACAATCATATATAGCAAAGGTATATACAGAGGCTACTGTACCTGTTCCAGGGCTTCATCAAGCGTTCCCTTTGTTGCTCTCAACCTGAGACACTTTTGGAGTTGTGGTTACCCAATCATTACTTGTCGGACGTCAGTGCTGAGCAGCAGACAATGCTTGCCTTTTTTCAAGCTGAGTCTCGACAATTGCCTCAGCATCGCTGAAACATCTAGAAGCATCCGGTGGTCACTCTGAGTCACTCTGGCTATCAGCTAAGCTGAGAAGTTTAGAGTGCTTGTCAACAGAGTCGCCCGCCTCGGGCAGATCATTCACTTTCGGATCAGGCACCTGAAATCCATTGGTTCGGTTGCACGCGTTTGGTGGTGATGACATGATATGTATCGAGGATTTCCAACTCAGCGATCACAAGGCTGGGAATCTCAAATTGCTGCGTTTCCACTAAGCCTTGGTATGGTTGACCGCACTGCAAGGTTCTTGCAAAATGTCTTAGCGAAAGTGATTTTGTTGTCCTTTATTCCACTTGATTTAAGAAAAAACGTTCATGGGATTCGCAATGGCGGTAGTTTCTGGTGATCTGTGTTGCAAGTTGGAACAATCATGAAGAAGAGCGCGAAGTTTTGTTCTAAGTTTTTGCAAAAGCGTATGAAACCGATGAAACTTTTAACGGGAAGTTCCGGAACTTGAGGCCAAAGGAAGGGGGTGAAAGCTAGTTGGGTAAGGAGAGATGTGTATTGAGAGAATATGTGTCGCGACCTTTTGAGCGTCAGTTTTTGAATTGAAATAAACTACCATTTGATGTTGTTGACACGCTAACAGCAGCATATCTAGCTCGCATGCACCATAATCATTCCACAACCCTCCCCCTGACATCTTAGCATACCACCCTCAACATTACGCTCCTAGTACTCTACTTGCCAAATACACAGTGCCACAACCGAACTCGTTTCGGCTGAGCCACTTTGCAACCATCTGATTGAACCTCTTTCCCTCGGCCTTTCCTTCCTTTTTCCTGTCCGTGACATATTTTTGTATATGTGTATATGTCTATAATCTTTATGAATATATCTAAGTATATGTCTAAAATGAATATATCTAATAAACATGTATATATATATATATATCCATTATACAAACAACCCAGTCTTTGAATGGGGAAACTCAGGTGAATACATCCATGACCTCTTGGGGAAATGGAGTGCAAGACTCCAAGCGGCCGTTCTCTCATTACATTACATTACATTACATTAGATTGGAGTAGATTGCACTATACCAGTAGTACCGCACAAGGGGGCGGCGGAAGTTTCAGAAATAGGAAACCTATAGGAGAGGTTGGTTGTTGTGAATCACGGATGGCAGAGCGAAGCCACTGATGGAGGGACACGTGGTTGAGGTCTCCTCTCTTTCTCTCTCTTTCTTTCTCTTTCTCTTTCTCTGACTATCTATCTATCTATCTACCTACCTACCTACCTATCTATATCTATCTATATCTATCTATATCTATCTACATCTATCTATATCTATCTATATCTATCTATATCTATCTATATCTATCTATATCTATCTATATCTATCTACCTATATCTATCTACTATCTATCTATCTATCTATCTATCTATCTATCTATCTATCTATCTATCTGTCTGTCTGTCTATCTATCTATCCGTCTGTCTGTCTATCTATCTATCTACCTATCTATCTATCTATCTATCTCTCTCTCTCTCTCTGTCTGTCTGTCTGTCTATCTATCTGCAAGCTTGAAAACGAAGCGATTCTGCGAGACTTCCTCAGTTTTTAAACTTGACAACATCAAAAATGCAGCAATTCAGCGAGACTGCCTCAATTTTTGCACTCGATAACATCAAAAACGAAGCAATTCTGCCAGACCTCCTCAATTTTTGAACTTGACAACATCAAAAATGAAACAAGTCTGCGGATTTCCTCATTTTTCGAAGTTGACAACGTCAAAAACGATGCAATTCTGCGAGACTTCCTTCAAAAATGGAAAGTTGAGTGCAGAGCTGACGGCCTCGTACCAATGCGTTTTGCGATTTTTGCACTGCACCTGTCTAAAGTACTGCGCCTGCCACGAAAAAGTGATGCCAGGTCATACGAAGTGCTGCACCTGTCACGCAAAATCATCTCAGCAAACCTGAAGATCTGATGCTCCAAAATGCAACCCGTCTCAGGAAATCAGTGCCCGGACCTCCTAGCAGCTCTCATGAACATGTCTCTTGTACTGCGCCTGCCACGGAAAATGCATCTTTGCAGATCCTCTTCAAATGTCCCACGCCTGCCATGTCGTTTGGAAATGCCACAAAACCCTCATGTTTTGCTCACTTTTGACAAGGTCCACAATCCCGTGCGCCTGCCACGCGAAACAACATCCGAACGTCCAAAAGCGGCGCGAACATATCGTGCTTTTAACATTTTGACTTTGAAATCTGCTTCGCGCCACAACGGCGTGCACTTTTTCGACATCGCAACTTCGACAAGTGGTCCGGAGCTGGTGTGTTTTGTACATGTTGACTTGGAAATGTGCTTCGCGCCAAAACGGCGTCCACTTTTTCGACATCTGAGCTTCCAAAAGTGGTCCGAACGTGAAGTTTTTGTTAGCTTTTTCACTTACAAACGTGCTTCGCGCCACAACGGCGTGCACTTTTTCGACATCGCAACTTCGAAAAGTGGTCCGGAGCTGGTGTGCTTTGTACATTTTGACTTGGAAATGTGCTTCGCGCCACAACGGCGTGCAATTTTTCATCTCTCATCTGGCCAGATGGCTCCGCACCCGCCGCTTTAGCGAGCCTACTTTTCGACCCTCTGGAGCCACAAACCATTGGAAAAACACAGTATTTCGCGACTTTCCTACCTTTTCGCGCACCCGCATCTTCTTTCTTCTGACTCTTTCTCTCCTCTGATCTTCTCTCCTGCTCTTCTCTCTTCTGCTCTTCTCTTCTCTATTCTTCTGCTCCACCTCTGCTTTTCATCTGTCCATATTGTCGGAAGTTTGACTTCTAAACTTCCTTCGATTAGGTTACGCTACACTAGATTAGATTTAGGTTGCACTAGATTAGATTCCTTTTCATGGTCACAGATGAAACCCAGCAGGATGGATGGGGCGGGGTTTGAGCCCGAGGCAGGGGGGTGGGGCCACAGTTCGACATGATTAATCACGCCGAACAGGGGGGGGCAAAACAAATTCGACATGAAAAATCATGGCAGTGCATCCAGTCTGCCCCCAGTTCATTGCTAAAGCAAATCCAACTCCAGCTGCAAGCTAGCTGTCATGACTTTTGCCTAGAACAGCTTGGAATGATACTGAACCCATACAAAGAAGCCCATCTGAGACCTCAACATCTAGACTCCACAACTTTATTTTCTGCCTTTTTGGAACCTGCAACCTCCTGGACCTCCTGGACTTTGTTTCTGCAAACTTCCACAAGCTTCCAGAACTGTCTGGACTTTCCCAAACCTTCCCGGTGCCCGCAACCTCCAGAGATGCCAAAATGTTTCATGGTGAGTATATGGCCGAAGGAAGTTTAGAAGTCAAACTTCCGACAATATGGACAGATGAAAAGCAGAGATGGGAAGTCAGAGAAGAGAAGAGAAGAGAAGAAGAAAGAAGCTCAAAAAGAGAAAGTCTCCGAAGAAAGAGGATCCAGGCGCGCGACAAGGTAGGAAAGTCGCGAAACACTGTGTTTTTCCAAGGATTTGTGGCTCCGGAGGATCCAAAAGTAGGCTCGCTAAAGCGGCGGGTCCTGACCAGATGAGAGATGAAAAATTGCACGCCGTTGTGGCGCGAAGCACATTTCCAAGTCAAAATGTACAAAACACCTCAGCTTCGGAGGAAGTTGAGATGTCGAAAAAGTGCAGGCCGTTGTGGCGCGAAGCACATTTCTAAGTCAAAATGTACAAAACACCTCAGCTCCGGGCCACTTTTGGAAGTTGAGATGTCGAAAAAGTGCACGCCGTTGTGGCGCGAAGCACATTTCGAAGTCAAAAGTGCAAGAAACTGACGGGTACGGAGCACTTTTGGACGTTCAGATGTCGTTTTGCGTGGCAAGCGCAAGGCATTGTGGACCTTGTCAAAAGTTAGCAAAACGTGAAGGTTTTGTGGCATTTCCAAAAAAGATGGCAGGTGTGGGACATTTGAAGAGGATCTGCAAAGATGCATTTTCCGTGGCAGGCGCAGTACAACAGACATGTTCATCAGAGCTGCTAGGAGGTCCGGGCGCTGATTTCCTGAGACGGGTTGCATTTTGGAGCATCAGATCTTCAGGTTTGCTGAGATGATTTTGCGTGACAGGTGCAGCACTTCGTATGACCTGGCTTCACTTTTTCGTGGCAGGCGCAGTACTTTAGACAGGTGCAGTGCAAAAATCGCAAAACGCATTGGTACGAGGCCGTCAGCTCTGCACTCAACTTTCCACTTTTGAAGGAAGTCTCGCAGAATTGTTTTTGACGTTGTCAACTTCGAAAAATGAGGAAATCCGCAGACTTGTTTCATTTTTGATGTTGTCAAGTTCAAAAATTGAGGAGGTCTGGCAGAACTGCTTCGTTTTTGATGCTGTCGAGTGCAAAAATTGAGGCAGTCTCGCTGAATTGCTGCGTTTTTGATGTTGTCAAGTTTAAAAACTGAGGAAGTCTCGCAGAATAGTTCAAGCTTGCAGATAGACAGATAGATAGGTAGATAGATAGATAGACAACCACAACTGAAACTACAACTACAAGTACCACTACACTACACTACTACAACTACAAGTACAAATATACTACGCTACACTACACAACACTAATTACACTACACTACACTAATTACATCTAACTACACTACACTACACTACTCACACTACAACGACTACAACAGCAGCAACAACAACAACAACTACTACTGCTACTACTACTACTACTGCTACTGCTACTGCTACTGCTACTGCTACTGCTACTGCTACTGCTACTGCTACTGCTACTGCTACTGCTACTGCTACTCTACTACTACTACTACGACGACGACGACGACCACCACCACCACCACCACCACCATTAAACTGCAGTACATGACAGCTACAAATACAACTACACTACACTACACTAATTACATTACATTACGCTACAACTGCAACTACCACTTCATTGCACTACACGACACTACACTACAACTACAACTACACTACTTTACACTACAATACACTAGACTTGACTACACTACACTATTATATCACGCTACAGTACGCAACACTACAGTACACTACAATACACTACAGTAATTTCACCACACCACAACTACAACTGCAATTGCAACTACACTACACTAATTACACTACATAGCAACTACAACTTATAACTACAACTCCACCACACTACAACTACACCTACAACTACAACTACAACTACAACTGCGCTACACCACACCACATCCAGCAGTTGTGGTGAGGTGACCACTGCAACCATTGCAACCACTCCAGAAAACACAGCCCCAACCACCTTTCGGTCCATCAGTGGATTCGCTCTGCCATCCGTGAGTCACAACAACCAACCCTTCCTATAGGTTTCCTATTTTTGAAACTTCCGCCACCGCCTTGTGCAGTACTACTGGCAGTATATGGTAAGTCAAACCAAAACGCTTCGAAAGCTAGCCCAAAATTTCCAGATTCGCGAGGACACCCTACGGAACCCACATATCATCTTGAGCACAAACTTTCAGAATCTTTCGGATTTTGCCACATTTCCATGGAACCTCCCACGTTTGCTTGGACACTTTACCTTCTCGGAACCGTCTTGCAGCTCACCTCGAGTTGTGTTTTTGCTCGCCTCGAATGTCTCTCCTGCGCTGTCAAAGCCTGAACCCCAGTTACGTAACCTTCACAATAGTTGACACCTTTCTCGCTCTCACCTGAAAACCTACAGGAAGATCCAAAAGCATCCCAGGGCCATATTGGATCAAGATGTATTGAGATGTATTGGGATGTGTCAAGATGCATCAAGATGTATAGCATAGCTGTTGACACGAGAAGGATCCAGGCACGCGAGAGTTGTCCGGGTCGATCTCCCCAAGAAAGCCAACCAACTCGAGCCTGGACAGACTGGACAGACTGGACAGAGACAGGTCCAAGTTTCACGCAGAGTTTAGAGTTTCTCCGAGCAAATCCCAAGCCCTTCACTCCAGGCTTTGCACCGTGGGTAATCGCCTCAAGACCCAGCGCTATCCTGTCCCAATCTGTCCCACTACTCACAGACTTCATTGTCATTCTGATACCAATGAAATCTGAGGAGGTGACTTCAAAAGTTCAGCAGGTCTCAACCATCTCAGCTCACACGTTGAAGACCTTATAGAAGCAGAATGAAGCAGAATGAAGCAGAATGAAGCAGAATACACCGTGTACACGCTTCGTACCTTCACAAGCTCGGAGCAATGCTGCTATCAATTTCTCAAACGCAACCATAGGATGTATTGATCGAACACGTTTTAAATGACGTCCATCATAGATCAACGCCATGCTGCGCGCCAATAAACCAAATTGCTGCCCGACCTTAGCTACTTCGTGATGCTAGCTGCTAGTTGTGCCAGCCACTTTTGGGCGGAATGAGCACAATGGCTAGACTGGCTGGGTGCCTGACTGAGATCTTTTGAAAGGCAATCATGCCTCTCATTCGGATGAGAGAAATACGAATTTCCCTTGGACAGCTACTGTGCTCTGGCACAGATCTTTTTAGTTCACGTCTTTAAGCCGCCGACCCCTCCAAGGCAAGCTGCTCCACTGCCCAAACCACTGTTCTGCTCAGGGCAAGGCCCCAATCCTGTACACTGTACAAGTAGCCGATGGTGATAGAAACAGCTTTTCTTGAAGGCCCATCCGACCATCCAATCTCACTTCCGAAAGGCTCAAAGCTTCCAAGAGCTTGGTGACTTTTCAACCACTTATCACTTCTGGACTTCGACAAGAGCTTGTTTCAAGTGTAGAAGAAGATGTATCAACTCCGGTCCTTTCCACTGCATGCTGGAGTACTCCCCAACACAAAGGCTTCTGAATCGATGTCACCTTCTGTCCATCGCACAGCACACCTGACCGGTAACAAGTCCAGACTCTGTCTGGGCAGGACCCTCTTTCTTACTCTTTCTGAGTAACACCTGCCCTGTTGATTTCTGAACATGAGAGGACAGCACTGACTCTGAAGTGGATTGTGTTTGTGCCGCCCTTTGTCTTATACTTCTCCTAGTCTTCTTCTCCATTTCTTTCATTTTCTTTCCCAAGAATGAAGAACAGGTGATGATGCATAAGCCACTCAGAAGTCCATCTGAGTTGTACCCAACGCATGTGCATCTGTTCGCACCTACAAGAAAAGAGGTATCCACTTCAACCATTGGCAAAGTTTTGACCTCAAACTCAACATTGAAGCCTTGATTTGATAACCTTTACAAAGAACTGTGTGTGTGTGTGATGGCGATCTTTGATATCTACTTGCAAAATGACCTAGAACCTTCCAAACTTCCAGAGCCAACATTCAGGATTTTCATAAGCTCCTGGAACACTCCAGAGTTCCTTCCAATCTTTTGCAATTTTCCTGAGTCTTGTCTTGAAACCTTTGATCGGAACCTCTCACAGTTTTCCAGAATCTAATGACCCCCACCATGGCCACTATCCAGGATCAACACGAGACTACATGAGAAAAGGGATCTAACCCTGCACGGTTTCTGCCGCTTTAAAAAGTGGCAAGACGCGCACACCACACACTCTCCCCGAATAGCACCCATCCACACACGATTTCCTTGATTGCTTCACCCTTTGCTCGTGCCACTCGTGCCCTCTCGAGAAGATGTTCTGTTCACGTTCTCTCCCCAATAGGCAGCTGCAGCATGTTCACTGCCTACTTTCCTTGGCTTTGTCTCTCAGATATAGAAAGGAGACCGAGCGACAGGTGAACATCGGAGATGCATGCGCAAAAAGCGGTGGCATGTTGCCTGACATTTTTGCCCTTGGCTCCAACAAACGCATTGGATTTCTGACAAAATAAGCAAGCCTTCTCTGCTAAGCATGACAGTTTTCAGAAGGTGGGCAAATTCAACAACAAAGTACAACACTAACCCAGTATATGGATACTGTCTCAAGCTCTCATTGCAAGCAAAGAGAGACTTTGGCCGAAACTCTGACATAGTGTACATGTATCTATGCATACATACATACAACGTACGTACGTACGTACGTGCCTACATACATTACATTGCATTGCAGTACATTACATTACATTACAATACATTACATTACATTACATTATATTAAATTATATTATACTATACTATGTTATGTTATATTATATTACATTACATACATAAATTACATTACATTACATTACACTATATTATATTACATTACATACATACACTACATTACATTACTCCACGTTATATTATATTATATTACATTACATACATACATTACATACATACATACATACATTACATTACATTACATTACATTACATTACATTACATTACATACATACATACATTACATGCATACATTACAATACATATATACATACATACAATACAATACAATACAATACAATACAAGACAAGACAAGACAAGACAAGACCAGACGAGACAAGACAATACAATACAATACAGCAATACAATACAATACAAGACAAGACAATACAATACAATACAGCAATACAATACAATACAATACAATACAATACAATACAATACAATACAATACAATACAATACATACAATACAATACAATACAATACACTACACACTACACTACACTACACTACACTACACTACAATACAATACAATACAATACAATACAATACAATACTTGAGACCAGGGGGGAGGTACGAAAGCTAGCAGGGCTCGGGTAGGGCGGTAATCGTAAAGGGGGATTAGCAAGGTGAAGTCGGAATGCGGCAACGGGCTGTTGTAGGGTTGCAAAATCTATTGAGTCCAGCAAGCGAAAACCCCCCGATGCAGTAATCGTCTCTCGCCAAGTGTTGTAAGAAAAAGAAACGCAATATCAAAAATAAGCTTCGGTGGTATCCCCAACAGCCGCGACGTTTTATTTTTAAAAGTCTTTCTGAAGCTTGCTGCGAAGCCAAGCGCTGGAAACCCTCTGCTGAACCTATTGCACCTGACCCGGCCCTGCACCAAAGATTCTCAAAACCTCCTTTTCCGCAACCTTCTCCGGAACCCGTTGAACCTGACTTGGCTTTGCACCAAAGCCGCCCAAACCTTCACCGGAACCTTCACCGGAACCCTATTGAACCTGACCTGGATCTGCACCAAAGCCTCCCAGACCTTCACCGGAACCTTCTCCGGAACCCTGTTGAACCTGACCTGGCTCTACACTCTGTTGAACCTGACCTGGCTCTGCACCAAAGCCTCCCAGACCTTCTCCGGAACTCCGGAACCCTGTTAAACCTGACCGCTCTGCACCAAAGCGTCCCAGACCTTCTCCGGAACCTTCGGAAACCTCGTTGAACCTGACCCGGCCCCTGCACCAGTCCACACCGGAGCTATTCTGGGCTGAAGACCCCGTTAGCTTGCGCTGTTGGGGAAAAAACGCCCCCCAAATGGAAGCCCGAATCTGCAGAAAGATGTTCGAGACAATGCAACATATGTATGATAATGAAAAGGATGATGATGAGGATGAGGATGATGATGATGATGATGGTGATGATGATGATGATGATGATGATGATGAGGACGATGATGATGATGATGATGATGATGATGATGATGCTGCGAATGATGGGGATTATGATGATGGTGATGAGGATGAGGATGAGGATGATGATGATGATGATAATGATGATGATGATGAGGATGATGAGGATGAGGATGAAGATTAAAATGAGGATGATGATCACCCTCTACCAGCCGGAAATCTCCTCTCGGGGGGGGACCAGGGGGGGTGAGGTAGCTATCCCCATGTTGAGGGAGCCCTGGAATCTACAAGAACCCTTGTGGTCTGCAAGAGCAAGCTGCACTCTTTTTCTACGCGGTTAAGCAGTAATCTTGAGGCAGCGAAGTGGCGCAGTGGAAATAATGAATTATGTGAACATGTCATGTACTACATGCAAACTGTCATGCATGCATTGTGTAGACACGTCCCCAAAAGTGGTTTACAAACAGACACAAATTTTCTTCGTGTCGGAACATGCAGCTACTTTTCACAAGAAGCGCTCAGCTTGTGATCTGCTGTGAAACGGATGAGTCCGAAGACAAAAATCAAAACTACAGGCAGGCAGCTGTTGTCTGGCCGAAATTCGGCACACTGAGAATTGATGTACCTACAGGTTCGAGGCAAATAGAGGAACAGCTCATTGTTTCTTCTTTGGTTGCGTGGTTGGTGAAAATAAATTGATTGTTCAAGCGTTTGCGGAAGCAAATCTATCCATTGGCCATCATATTTTTGAAGCCATCTATTTGGTGGAACTTGATAACCAGGAGCATACTCAATGCTCAACATTGTAATTTCTTGGATTTGTGCGATGATACGGCTGCTGATAAGGATGACCGGGATATCGGTACGAAGTTGAGCTGGAAGAAGGCTCTCGGTGGCCTTGATTTAGCCACTGCGATCCCGACATGCGGCTCGGAGGCGGCGGTGGCTCAGGAACTCCAATAGGACGACTCCTGCTAGTCCAGCTTGACCGAGATTCGGTACGTGTCCGTGTGTTGCGTTCAACCGGGGTCTGAGATCGCTCACGACCTCGAGCAGTATTCTGGCGCTGCTCATGCTCTCGCCAAGGCGGCGTTTTGCTAGATGTCCCCACGGTACGTGAAGCAACAGGTGGATCATTACTTGGTGACCTTGCAGACCACGGAGGCGGTACAGGTGGTGCTTTGACCGGAGGTGTGGCAGTTGATGTCAGTGCTTGTTTCAAATAGGTAGGAGCTGCTTTAAAACGTGGTTGTTGCGACGGTGGCGTTTTTGGTGGTGTTTTTGGTGGTGTTACTGGTGGTCGAACTGGCGCCAGTGGCGGCTGTGGACGACGTGTGGAATTATCTCTGCTAGAAACGCGACTGGTAGAACGGGATCTCTGTTCACCAACATTTCGGTAGGAATCTTGCCGCAAAGGCGGCACAGTGTCCTTGCGTTCTCTGCGTTCAATTTTCCTATCGTCACGTTTTTCTTTATAGCTCTCATTGAGTCCTCCCCAACGTGCACGTCTCCGGTCCTCGGATTCTTTTGATCGGATTCTCATGTTTTTAAGAGCCTTCAACTGTGCAAAGGTCAACAAGGGAGAATGATAAGCACAATCTTTTTCTGCAAGACCCATATCATATGGCAAAAGGTGCTTCAATTGTTCTACATCGTTCAACATGACTTAATCGGAAAAGGCTGAGCCTACAAGTCCATCCGCAGATGCGGAATCTTCCTTGCCTCGAGCTTCAGAAACGGCAATCTGTTTACCGTAACATAAGGAAATAAAAAATCATAGAATCACAGTCGGCATCTTTGCCTTCCATGCTTCGAATGTACTCACTTGCCATAGTGGATGAAACTACGTTATACGTAATGCGATTGATGGGACTGCGATGTAAGTTGATCTGTTGAAGAAATCTTTCAACAATGTCAATCATGATGGATGTCCGAAAATCGGAATGCTCATCTCGTTTGAAACTGCGTTGAGCGAATAGGTTTCCATCTCCTGAAATAAAATCACACTGGTGTTCAATACAGCAAGCAACAAAGCTCAACCATTTTTGGCATGCTTCAGCATATGCTTTTGTCCAGGCGTAAGATGAAGTATGGAATACTGCAACGCGGACTTCTGCCAAAAGAAGGAGTTTCACGTCATGCGTGTCTGCGCCTGAAGCAACAGGGAGAATTTCTGCTTGTGTAACATCAATCGCTCCATCAACTTCACAAATGGCATGTTCTTGAGTGTCTTGTGTGCTGGCCAGCGGATTAGGATGTGGCTGAACTGACAGATCCTCATTCGGAGTGATATCAGGCATTGCCATTCGAACTCCGGTATTCGGATTAACGAATTCTCCTGAGGTGTTCTTGCCATGACGAAGGCGAAAAATTGCTCCATGAAGTAACC